ACCTATATAAAAAGCTCTGTGTCTCTGTGTGTGTATGTTCCAGCATAATTCTGGAACACCTCAAGCAATTTCAACCAAACTTGGTACACAGATGACTTACTCTCTGGAAAAAGATACTGTGGGGGGAAGACACCCTAACACCCCTTGGGTTATGTGTTCTGCTAAGGTACAGCCTGTTGTGCCTTAAAATGGCGTCTACTGCACAGCACAGTGGAGATGCCATGGTAACGCTTTCACAGTACTCCACAGGGGGGCTCCCTCTGGTAAGTGGGAAAATCCAACATTAGAAATTATGTTTGGTCCGGACATTTTCCCCTTATAAATTAATACCCGGGCAATGCCGGGTTATCAGCTAATTCTAGATAAACATTATAGGCATATAGGAGAAGCACTGAATTAGAAGAAAAATGGATGCTAAGAAAGGATCTTTCATAAACTGTCTTTGTGTTACATAAACATTTGGGTTATAATTTGGAAATATATTTTCACATGTTCAGCTACCTATTGGTAATTTTCCTATAATGTCAGTCAACCTCAAGCATGCTAAGTGATAAGAGACTTGGCATCGTTGCCAGAGTATTTAAGTGGTCTTTTTTGCCATAGAAATAGATAGTTGTAATTCAAGAAATGAATGGCAATTTAAGAAATTAATATATATTTAATATAAGAAAATGCAGGTAGTCCTCAACTTACGACCACAACTGAGTCCAAAATTTCCATTACTAAGCAAGACAGTTAAGTGAATTTTGCTGCATTTTACAAGTTTTTTTTGCCATAGTTATTAAGTGAATCACCATAGTTGTTACCCATTGACTTTGCTTGTCAGGAAGTCACAAAACATGATCAGATGATCCCTGAATACTGCAACCATCATAAAATTGAATCAGTTGCCATGTATCTGAATTTTGATCACCTGCCCGTGGGGATGCTGCTGTGGTCATAAGTGTGAAAAATAGCCATAAATCACATTTTTTCAGTGCTGTTGTAATTTTGAGTGGTCATTAAATGAACTATGGTAAGTCAAGGATTACCTGTATGGAGAATCAAGTATGCTTCTCTTTCCTCAGTACTGACATGAGTTCTGTTTCCATCACCCAAAATCTGATGGGAAATTGAAATAGTACAACATAGAGAAAGAAAGTAAGGGTACCTTTTCCTATTCTCAGTTCTTTGGAGCTGGAAAGAAAATCTGCTTTTTCCACAGTGTCCTGGTAACTTATTAACTTGTATAGGGGATAACAGTGGTATACACTTTAGAACCTCAGCCAATGAATTGTTATAAATGTTAAGTAGACTGGCTCTACTATGAGTCAACTGCCTCACCAGCCAATACTAGAAAGCAGGAAGGTACAATAAGATATTGTTGGTAGCAATGTCGGACAGTCTTGTTTTTCTTAAAGTACCTTGCTGTTCTTGAATGAAATGAACCATTTTGGGCCACTTCTGCAGATGGACTGTGGTGCATGTAGGACATCTTGCTCTTCATCTCAGGTAGCAGAGTGCGTTGGATGGCTAGTGAGTGGTCTTTTCCTATGCCAATTTGTAGGAAGGAAGCCAGAATACATGTTTTTGAAAATAATACACTCATAAGGAGTCTTGGATACAGGGCTATAGCTTCTAAACATTTCTCCCTATTGGCTTTCTATTTTCAATATAAGTAATGGGTGCAAAATGAGTAATGAAATTGCAAAACTAGGTACAGGTAGTCCTAGTTAGCAACTTGGTCATTAAATGAAGTGGTTGCTAAGTGAAACCACTCCTGTACTTACAATCTTCCTTTGCTTTACAGACCTTGTAAATGCAAGGTCACAACATTACTTTTTCAATACCATCATAACCAGGAAAGTTTGCTAAAGAAGGCAGTCGTTAAAAAAGGACTGTATAGAAAGTGTCGGCAGGTTGTTGCAATTGGATATCCTTCTTTGGCTTTAAAGCTAAATGGGATTAGACCTAATGAGTATTTGGAAAATGAGCACACCAAATAATGGCAGGGTAAACTGGAAGATTAAAAAAAACCCTCCTGGCAATGGGAAATATCTTTCATAAACCTACCAAGGAAAGAGATACATCTATATAGTCACAAAGAATTGAGCTTAACTCAAGAGCACCTGTATTTTAGGCATAGGAAAGAAGAATCTTTTGCCAGGAGAAAATAAATCTAGCGTGGGAAGTGTGAATGTTAGTCTCTTGTGAGATAGCAAGACCTCATGGCAGAATAAAGGCTCTTTTACAAAAAGATTCTTGGAAGTGCATTGGCTGAGAGTACTCACCCCCTTCTATTTGTTTATCTTTTAGATACTTTTTCCGCTTATCTGGAAAAGAAATAAGCAGTTTTAGCAATGAGCAGAGTGATTTTGCCAATCAGTTTTTTGAATGGGATATAACTGAGCTACAGGTGAGTAAAACAGCCATATATTTGGGGTAGCCTGGATAAGCCATTTTTCTTAAAGGGAAGAGCTCTTGTTCAGGTGGTGGTTTAGATTACGCCCAGCTATATATGAGTGGGCTATGTGGAGAGGAGCCAATTGATACCAGAGAACCTGTGGCAGGTATAGTATGTTTCTTTGTAACATTTCTTTTGCTAGTGTAGGATGGATCACTTACTGTGTATGTATTTGGATGAAGCTATGTTTCTTCCTGTAGCCTTTAGCGTATTTAACCTAGTGCAGTTCTTTTATCTTTGGAATAAAAAGCAGCATTTTAAAAGAAAGAAATTAAGATGTGCCTCTGGTTGCCGTTATGTTGGAAGCTGATATTGCTCCCTGTCCCAGCAATGTTTCAGTTTATTTATTTCATCAACTTCAGTGGGACTTACTGATGGCAGATCATGTTTTTCTGCCTGGCCCACCTAACTAGCAAACTCATGAATCAGATCATACTGAATCATACTGATTTGAGGAAAAACACCTTTAATGCTAGTTAGAGTGAAAGCATAATCTTGAAAATAAATTAACAAGCAGGCTTCTAGTGAAGTCAGTTAAAGTGGAATCTTTGAAAGCTTTCCTTCTCATAGCTGGGCGATAGTCCAGTTCTTGGCTGTTACTGAACACCTCCTCTGCCTAGTTCTCACTATCTCATCATACTGTTTCATACAAACCTACTAAACCAACTGTGCAGTGACATATTGTGTTGACTGAACAAAACCAATGACATGTCTCGTGCGCTGCGTTAAGTGATCGTGTGGTTTGGCCTTAAAACTAAACATTTGGTTTAGTATATTACTGTGAAACTAAGCCATTTGTTAGTCACGGTTTATTGCAAACGAGAAATATTTTAGTTCTGGAAAACAACTAGAGGTCTAAAAGCATGTGATGAGCACACTCACAAAATGACTGCCACAAAAGACTTGCAACATCTTATATATCAGAGGACAAAGTAGTTCTCCACCCTATTTACTCGGGTTATCCTTTATCATTCTAGGAGGGTCTTGTGAGATCCAAATATGTTATTGCAAATAAAGTGCCAGAGAATTTGGAGAAGTCAATGGGTGGGAAATTAGAGTCACACACTGAGGCTTGTAACATATTTACTTGTGCCTATTTTATATCTTAGTATAATACATGAACTCAAGACAGTGAGATAAGGAAAAAGCTATATTTTACATTGCTTAGGCAATGTAAACCATTCCATCTATTACTATGTAAGAGAGATAGAATACTAGGAGAGTTTGGGATATGTAAACAGTCAACATTAGAACAGGTAATCTCTTTGTAGAGAAAAATGGATAGGTGTCTTGGAGGCACCACTAGAAGCAGATGAAACCAGATGTTAAGAATCCAAAGTTTGCATGTACTTGCTATTTTTTCTTTATCCATACAATTTTGTGATCACGTTGGGCTATTGAGTTAGGTGTAGAAGTCTAATAACCCAATGATGTTGCTGTGTTTCATTTTTTTCCCTTAAGAAAAAGCTAGTATAGTGGTTAAGATATTAGACAAGATGTTAGATTAGGTTGGAAAGACCCAGGGTCAAGTCTATTCCAATGAAAGATCACTGGGTGCCTTTGGACTCATCACTTACTCTCTCAGCCCAGCCTACTTTACAGGCTTGCTGCAGAGAAAATTGGAGGAGGAAGTCACTGAGTTCCTGCAAGAAAGGTGGGATATAACTTTGATAAAAAAATACAACAGTATGAATTTACTAACATGATTGAAGCAGTGACAAAAGACAATAGAAGAAGGTTGAAGATAGATTACAATTCTTCCTTTTCCTCTGCTTTGTCTGCAGCCTGCTTTGTCTGCAGCCTTGTATCTTCATGTGGTACAAGAAAAGAAAGGAGAGGATGTTTTGGGCATCATTCGGAAGCCACTGGATTACCTTGACCAGATTCTTACCAAAAAGGGTACCTCTTACCTCACTGGGGTAAGTAAGAACCTCTGTAAGCAAACTTCGCAGTACTGGCTGACATAGAAGCTGAGATGTGGGAGAATTGAAAGGATACCTGGTTGTTATAAAACCTTAGCTTTTTGTAATATTTAAAGCACAGTACAGCTAGGTTTTATATGGACCCAGGATCAGAATAGAACATGGAGAACCATAATTCCTCTCATGCCTTTCTCACAGCTTTTGGGATTTTTCACAAGCATTGTGTACATGGGGAGTTACTTTAGTAAATTTTAAGGATTAAAAGCTATGTCTTAAGAAAATTAAGAAATAAAAAGCTGAAATCTTCTGGGTGCTTAACCACTGTTTTCATTCTTGAAACAAAATGTATATGTCCAAAATCTAGTTAGTGTGGGGAATCTCTTCTTTGGAGAATGCCAAGGCCCTTGATAGGTGAAGTGATTCTCATCAACAGAGTCATCTTTTCAGAAAAGAACAGATTTTTAGCCTCTCCCCCCCCCCCCTCTTTTTTGGTTCTTGTGGGAGAAAAGTTTCTTTCAAAGATGCATTACTTCCTGTGAGAATTTTGATTACCTGTAAAAAGTAGTAATAAGTAAATAGATTGTGTTTTCTTTAGCTTTTACGATCTCATTTTGTTATCTTAATGGTGGCTCACATGGTTAGGATGCTGGTTTGGAAGTTAGCAAGCCTGTGTTCAAGACCAGAGTGCTGCTGTGAGGAGGGGTGAGCCCCTGTCTTTCATTCCAGCTCCTTCTGGGGACATAAAAGGAGTCCTCAACTGGGCAGCCCCCAGGTGACAGTAATGTCACCAGCTAATTCTTTCAACCTGGAAGTGCCTCCATTTTTCTGACACGAGTGTGATGCAATCGTAATTATGGGAAGACCCCAAAGAGTCCCAAAAGAAAGGCTTAGAGACCCATGTATAGGTTGCAGATTGCTCACCTCTGTTCCAGATCTGTTTTCATGGGGAAAAAGCATTGGAGTATTCTTTAGGGGTTTTTTTGTTCTTTACAGAGTTACTTCAGAACTAATTTTATTGTTGTATATCATCTTATATAGAATCAAATAAAAATTACCATATGTTTCTGTAAAGCCAATTAAACTGAAGTGGTCATGTTATACTACTATTGATAGTGTTCATGGTGGAGAGAAGAATCTACATATGTACTGTTGAAGAAGTTTCTATCTTGAACATTTGGGAAATGTTTCTTTCCAATGCAAGTGAAATATTCAAGTTGCTCCTACTGCATATTCAGACTGAACTAATTTCTTCTGATTTTTTAATCCAGGATGTTGAATCAGCTGCTGATATTGTCTTATGGGGATCTCTGTTTCCTTTGTTAAGAGATGATTCCTTCTTACCAAGTGAGTGATTCCCACAACTGAATTCAGCTTTCACCAACCTGATAACCTCCAAATTGTTGGGCTTCAATTACTGTTACCTCCCAAAGTTGGGAAAGGCCTCAAAGATGGCCTTCCTGCTCTGACAGGAGGTATCAATGTCTGCTTACCATTTGGCTGCTAATTTACACAAGTCATTTTTTGCTTTTCCTTTATCAATTAATGTTTGTTGGAGAAAAGTTCCTTTTCTCACTTTCTCCTTTCCCTAAATATGGAGGCACATAAATAATGGCTAAAAGAATGTCCCATGCTCCTCAAAGAAGAAAAAAACACCACCACCCTGTCTTTAGAAAATATCTTCTGCACCAGGCCATCGTCCACAGGATTCTGTGGCATGGTTGCATTGAAATGCTGCCTATGATTGCATTGAAAGGCTGTTCACCTTTACTGTTGAATCTACAATTATGAGGGGAGACTAATAGAACTGGGGAGGCAAGATCTTTCTTTTCGGGTATGGATTGTCTGCCCTTGTTGACCTTTTTGAGCAACTCCTAAGTGTCCTAAGGTTTAGAAAGGGCACCTTGGCTAATTTTTTAGTTCTTTATGGGTTCTCTGAGAATAACCATGTTCTAATTTAATATTCAAGATGAGCTGAAAGCTCTGAGGAGTTGGTTCCAGAACATGAACCTGAAGGAGTACTGCAGAAAGGCAGTGGAATCTGTATGGACACCCAAGGGATTGCTGGAACTTAAAGCCTATCTACAGAAACATCCTACTCCCAGTTTGTCTTTTGAGAAATCAGCTACCAATGAAGCCAAGGTATTCATGTTGCATTCCTATGTAAAGCAGTTGCTTTGTTCTCAATACCACCGCATGTTAAGTCTCAGCCTAATAAATTGCAGGCCATTTTATTACGGCATTCCTTGCACTTATGAAAGTAGTGAATCAAGAAGAAAGCAAGACTCCAATGGCCCAGCATTATCTTGGATGGACTTTAGCATACATGTACTTCACAGACTCAAGGGATTCCATACTATTAAACAGTGACTTCAGCTGTTGTTAAATCTGATTTGAAATGAGGAATGGTTTGGGAAATAGGTAGTCCTGTATAGGCAAGGGATGATATCACCCATTTAGAATTTGTTTTGTTAAACGGGTTACTCTCAAATATTACTGCATTACCTTGGGAGGGAGGGGGAGGTGTAGGCCAAGGGAATTGGGATTTATGCTATGGTTGTTGTTTTAGACATTGGTATTCCCTGGCAATTACCCATGGTCCATTAGTAACTCATGGATATTGGTTGCTGAATATCAGACATCTTTACAGAATGTTTGTCCTTCACTCTAGGAAGAGGAATCGGCCCAGCAGCATTTGTCTGATGTGGAGATTGAAGCTATTGCTCAAATCTGGACCAGAGGACCTGCCAGCCTTCCTAGCCCCTGGAAACCACAGCACCCTATGTAAGAATCTTGCTGGGCTGAAATGTCCTTGTGATTTTAATGTGGGATACCAAAGAGGATCTTAAAACAGAGACTGCCCATCCGTGTGTGTGCATCTTGCTCTCTTCCTCCTATCTTTGGCAATTATAAACAAATTGTTGCTATTTATTTCTTTAATGGTTTTTAATCATTGTAGAGCTGCCTCCAGAAGAGACGGACAGGATATAAGTTGAATAAATAAATATAAATGACTCACCTTTTCTTTTGTCTCCTAAAGACCCAAATGTCGAATACGCACATTATACATGGCTAAATATATCGTGGGAATTGTTAATATGAAGAGTTGTTTCCCAACCTTAACATTATCAAAACATAGCCATGTAATTCCGTACAGCATCCATTAGTGTCTGTCTCAATGACATAGAAACTTGTAGCTTTCTGGATATTGTTGTATTATAATTTGATCGTTGGCAGTGCTGACTGGAATTGGAGTTTTGGCAATGTCTGGAAAGCTGCAGATTATTCACCTCTTGATGTTTACTAACTTCTCATGGAGTTTCTGCAGAACTCTAGAAGTTAAAAGTCAATTCTTAAATTATTCATAGCATTATGATCCGCAAGCTCATGAATTTGTACAAGGCTAATTTTGCCTACAGAGAGAGTTAATCATTCTACATTGCAGATGCCTCCGTATATTGCATATCTCCCCATCTACCTTACCTCTCCCTCACTCCATCCCACCTCAGTTGTTTGAGCAAGTCAGAAATCTGAATTTATCTCTGAATTAATTTGTCTGTCCTCCCCAGATTGCCTGTGGAAGGCATGAAGAATGTGCTAATCACAAGTGCGCTGCCATATGTAAACAATGTGCCTCATCTTGGAAATATCATTGGCTGTGTTCTCAGTGCTGATACATTTGCCAGGTAAGTTAAAGCATCTCTTTCCAGGTGGCCAGACTCCTGGTCCATGTGAACTTATGAATTATCCTCACTGTGTGTCTCTGGATTCTGCCTTTGCCATATTTGCTTCCTAAGATTGTGCTTGTCTCTGAAAACGTTGGGTGTGAGGGTTTTTTTTGCACAGCAATAATGTGCTCTGTTGGACTGGTTTTTATTTATAACATTCATTAGCTGCCTATCTTATCTCAGAATAACTCTGGGCAGCTTACAATCATAAAATGAATGATGGTCCAGACAACATAAAAGAAGATCCTATGAAACCTTTGTTTGTTTATTTTTAACCTTTGTATATTTTAGTATTTTATGATACACTACCCAGAATGCAGTGGTGGGTTTCAAAAATTGTTCAAACCTACTCTGTGGGTGTGGCCTCCTTTGTGGGAGTGGCTTGCCGCCCATGTGACCGGATGGGAGTGGCTTGCTGCCCATGTGACTGGATATGAAGATGCCGACAACAACACTTGTCAGAACCACCTTAAATTACTTCACACCCAGCACTGGCATGCATAAGAATATGATGTAAAGTTGTTTTTTCAAAGGCATCTTTGGTTTGCGTTAAAACAACTTCAACACACACAATGTTCTGATTGCACCACAAACGCAGTAGTCATCCTTACCTTTCACAGAGGCACTGAGTTTTATAAATATGAGCATGATAGTGTAGAATAATCATATCCAAGGACCAGTGGTGGGTTTAAAAAATTATGGAACCTCTTCTGTAGGTGTGGCCTGCTTTCCGGGTCCACTGGTGGAACCTCTTCTAACTGGTTCGGTAGATTTGACGAACCGGTTCTACCGAATAGGTGCGAACTGGTAGGAACCCACCTCTGCCAGAATGCCTCTCTGAGGGAGATGGGCGGTTTAGAAATGTGAGAAATAAAAATAAAACAAGATCATAGGAGACCTTAGTTCTTTTTGATAGCAATAAATCTGCTTTTTGAAACAGGTAGCTTTTATGTTTTTTAGATACTGTCGTCTACGCAACTGGAACACCCTCTATATATGTGGTACTGATGAATATGGTACTGCCACAGAGACAAAGGCCATGGAGGAAGGACTGACACCACAACAGATCTGTGATAAATACTATTCTATCCATGCACAAATCTACCAGTGGTTCAACATCTCTTTTGACTACTTTGGTCGCACAACCACAGCCCATCAGACCACGTAAGTGCTGCAGTTAGAAGAATTGTCAGTAGGGGGGAAAGAAACACAGAAATGAAGCAACATTTTTCCCCTCCTTCCCTCTCTGTCTTACAGTCTTCGGGTTACCTAACTTTTGTTTTGTACCTGCAATAAAGTTTGTCTCCTGTTTTGGAGCTGACCAAAAAACTGACAGATGATTGAAGGTAGTTTCTGCAGCTAGTTTCTGAAAGTGTTGCAAACATGAACACTTTGAATGTTCAAAATAAAGAACTGCTATCCATTTGAAGCATTTTTAGCTCATCTCTTGGCCGAAAGGGCTCCAAGCATAGTCTTGACATTATCAGAGAAGACCAACCAATCACAGAGCTAATAAATGACTGCCCAATTCTGGCAAGTTCTATCATCTTCATTTTCATCTATCTATGTATCATCTATCATACTTTCCCCTTAATGTCTAATGATTAGTGGACATTTGTTGGGGGTATGTAGCTTCTTAGTCAAGCCAAATTAGGGGATCACTGGGAAGTAATGGATGAAAACCTCAGAAATGTCCATTGCACACACTGATTTGAGATGTGAGTTCTTTCTTTGGAGTAAACTTTGTAGATTTCATTCAGGTGTCATCAATGAGGATATGGCAGGACTGATCATCATATGCCCTGTATCCTCTTTTCTGCGTTGGCCAGTATGAATATAATTTTCACATGAAGCTATATTCCTAATTTATTAGCTTCTTGGTCAATTGAAAAACATCCTATTTTGTAGTAAACAGATGCCAAAAATTTGTCAAGATTTTCAGTTTTATCATTTTTAACTCCCAAAGTTGAGAGACTTTTACCACAAGTCATAATGGTAAGCGGGAACATTTAAACAAGGTTTGTTTGTTTTTAAATTAGCCATGGTTACACTAAATCAAAAACAATTAAACCATGTTTCTTGAATACAAATAAACTTGATCAGTTCTGGGATTTCTTTGACTTGGATTTACTCCTCATCCTAAATCCTAGACAACCTTACAGCCAATTTTATTGCCCTCCAGTTATTTTAAATTATCAGGCTGCTGGCTGCGATTACTGAGAGTTGCATTCCAGAACAGTTAGAGGGCATTCAGTTACCAATCCTTGCTTGTATTATTGGACTAGATCATGTTGCCATTTTAACTTAGTGCCTTGTTTTGACCCTACTTATTAGAATTCTGCCAAACACTAAACAATTCTGTAAACACTAATAAACAACTTAATTAAAATGAATCCCGGCTCAGTACTAAATCCAGACATAATTGCACACTGAGAGGCACTCATCCATTCAGGGGGAACTAACAATAGAGCCATGGATCACACATTGCAGATCAACATACACTTCTGGATATATATCCTCATGGAATAAGACCTTGGTAAGATCAGAAAGAGTGAATTTGTTTTCAAGGCATGAGATGCTTTGCCTACCTGCTAGTCTGCCTACCCACCACTATACTAGTGCAAATGCAAATGAAATTGGCATGTCAACATTGTTTGGAAACCGAGATAAATTAAGGACACAAAGTGCTTTGCTGTCACAGGCATTCATGTTTCTGAGCTACTCTTTACACTTTTCAAAATATTTGAGTGAAGATCAGAAGCCGTTCCTTACCTCTCCCCTTTTTTCACCCTTCAGAATAGCACAAACCATCTTCCAACAGTTGCTGGAGCGCAACTATCTCCTGAGAGAGACAGTGGACCAGTTGAAGTGTGAGAAATGTGCAAGATTCCTAGCAGACCGATTTGTGGAAGGCATTTGCCCTTTCTGCAACTATGAAGAAGCCCGTGGAGATCAGTGCGACAAATGTGGCAAGCTCATAAATGCCACTGAACTTAAGGTATTATTTTGAAACATTTACAGAAGCCTGAACCAGATCTTCAGAGTAGACTCTTTTGCAATAAAGAGCTGATGAAATCCAAATCATCCGTTCTATTGAAACTCCATTAAACTAGATAAGATCTCCTCTCTCTTTCCTGAGAGGAGTATAACCATTATGCTAGTTCAGAGGTATCAAACTGGCAACCTACAGGCTGGATGCGTCATGCACAGGCCACGCCCACCCCAGTTACGCAAAAGGAAAAAACATTGGGATACGTGACGGCAACATGACACTGCGACTTTGACACCCGTGTGCTAGTTCATCTTCCCTTCTCAGCCTTGGAAAACAATCTCTCATGATTATGAACTAAACCATCTTGTGATGTTTGATTTTGGTTTACTCAGATGCTGGGATTTGTAACCCATAGTTTATTGACTGTAAATTATTGAGCCTAGAGGGTTGTGATTTTTCCAGTAATTACCTTAATAGAATGTATGCCCCATGGCTTATAGGATACTTTGACCAGATGCTTTTCTTATGACAAATCAAAAATCAACCTTATTGTCCTCATTCTACTAGTCAAGTCTTGCCTTAATTTGTCTAGTGAATCTGTGTGATTAAATATCGGGTATATCCACATTCACAATTATTTACAGTAAATTTCTTTTGTAACTGGGGAATCCAGCATGCTGCAATCACAGTGAAAGACAGATAAAAGCAAATTAAGTATTTATCTTAAAGCTTCAGGTCTTGCAATACAGTAAATAGGGCTGCTTTTATTCACAGTGAGGTCCAAACTATCCCCAGGATCTGAGCTATTGTGGAAATGTTATATTTTTGAATCTTTTACTTTGTTAGATTTGTTGCATTTTATTTTTGCTATTGTAGCTTTAAGAAGAATATCCTCATTTTATCCCCTTTTTTCACTTTTTCTGTTGTTTGCTGTGTTACTTATATTGATGTATCTCTTCATGGCCGTCTATGGTTTTATAAAAGGAAAAGCATAATCCATATTTATCTTTTTTATTATTATTCTTCACTTGAATTTCCCTCTCTGATTTTCCACTATTATTTTAACATGTCCTGAATCACTGGATTCTTTTCTTCGGAGATACTTAACAGGTTAAGTCTCTTAGCCTGCTAATTTCTTAACAATATCCATTCTATCCACAGGCCTTACTACAAAACAGTGCTTTGTTTAATGTGAGCAATCTCTGTGTAGCATAGTCTTTGTTCTGGATAGTTGGCTTTTTCTTGAAAAGATTTAAAGACTTCTTTAGATATATACTGCTATGAAATGTGGTGATTCCATTTAGATAATTTGATGAATCAATCATTTTGTGATACGTTCTTCTTTCTCTTCTGACAGAAACCAGTGTGCAAAATCTGCCAAGGAACCCCTGTAGTGAAATCTTCTCAGCACCTTTTCCTGGATCTACCCAAGGTGAGCCTCTTGTTCTTCTCCTGTCTTTAGAAGGCAGCGTTCTGTGAATCTTTGAATCAACACGTGTGACAGAGATAAGCTGTCAATAAACTTAAATTGAATCCAGATCAGACCAAGGCAATTCAGGACAAGTAAATGAACTCTAGAATTGAGCAGATGGGTATATTTCTACATTCAGCTTTCCATCTGGAGGCACAACTTCTTTACCCAGTTTAAACTAGTTTACCAGTTATGCCAGTGTTTGATATGATTATTGAAGTGGGCTTCATTTGGAGCTATCTTTGAAGAATCTTCTTAGACCGAAATTGGCCCATTGTGCAGCAGAAATGAAGTTGATAGTACAGGAACCAGTTCAAATAATTTCCCCACTATTTGCCCATTAGTGAAGGTCTTCATCAGAAACTGCAACTTGAAATTGATGTGAGTGCTCTACACATTTGCTGAACATTGATAGTTTATATCAACTAACACAAACAATAGTCACTTCATTAAAATTATTAGGAACAATCTAGGAGAACCTATGCTCACATTGTATGACATATCTGAAATGATTTTCAAGTTGCCTAATTACAAACAAAAGACACATAGTATGCAGTGGGATGATTTCAACCATCAGAACTGGGGAGTACTGGGCAAAACTGAATCTTAAAGCTTATAAAGCCCCAATTACTAAATGATAACTTACTTGAACAATGCTGCTCTGAACAACATGTGTCATACAACAAATTCTGATAAAGGGAAACTAAGATAGAACCCCTCACCCTTCTATTACAGAACATATTGTAATGTTCTGACGGGGGGAAAATTAATAATGGCTATAATTAAGCAGGTACAGGCTCAGGAAAATTAATTCTTCTCCTCAGATGGGCAAACTATTTTGATCCATAGAAGGGCATCAGAAAAGTTCACTTCCTAC